TGTTTGATCCTCTGATAGGTTTCTGATCCTCTGGGTTTCCACACAAACATGATGATAATCTGACTTAATATGAGGTCTGCTGAGGTTTTCACAGGCAACATTAATACACATCACAGAGCGGCATTGGATAGGTCAGGACCATATGGCACGGTGTCTGTAGAGTGCCGAGGGAAACCTGTAAGTGACTGTATGAATTAAAGAGAACTGTGAATGGTGTTAAGTATCATAGCTACTCAGCATGAGGTTGGTGCAGTCACTACTCACTTGCATTGCTGAGATGATGGAAGCCTTAATGATTTTATTATATCACATTAATCATTCACTGGAAGCACAGAAGCCATGGATGATAACAGGTAGTCATCAGTCTTTTCTGAACAAGACAGCCTCATCAAACGTCATTCATTGTCTACGCTTAACTGTGAACTTAGATGTCATCACTGCTTCTGCAAAAGCATCTGTTCTTTACTACTGTTCCTCTCAACTATAGATTGCCTTTAATCTAATAGAAAGTAAGTAATAGAATTGCATAAAGCTAAAGTGACTGTTCTTCAGATACACTTAAGGTTGTTATTGAACTCACTTGTTAAAAATGAACCACTTAACTCGAGCCTGTTACAAAATATTGAATTGCGACCTTTTATATTTCAAATTAAAACTTTCAAATTCAAATTTTTTATTTATTTTTTTTATTGGCTGGGCAGAGGAAGCTAATGTTTGATACATATAATATGAATATCAGTCCGCTGTTGCTTGCTGTGATTTTGCCAAAATGTAGCTAAAATTTGGAGCGTGGCAATCAGCCAATGAGATTATGAAATGCCTTTTAATGCATTTTACATGTTGACATTATTACCTCAAGGTGACAGCTCAAATAGTTTTCAACATGGAAAGGGTCTGCTTCTGTGGGGAGCATTCATTTGTAAATCTCACACCCTTTTTCTTTTTCTTGTATTCAACTGGAAATGTTTTGCCTGATAGTGAGAGTAGAGAAAAGACTGGGAGGTCACTGAAAACATGAGCAGTGCATTTCAATAGTGGTCTAACAAGCTCTTGTTCACTTCCCCTTGGCCTGTCCAGTACTGTGAATATGTGAGTGGACGAGGGAGTGAGTGAACAACAATGGAAGACTCATGCTACCCAGTGTGCATTGTGTGTTTGTGAGAATCGGTTGATATTATCATACTGTATTTTACATTGTTTTTTTTGTTTTTTTGAGACTTATTGACTGTTTCATTTTATCATTATTGAAGACACTAATTGACTCAAATTATGCTGACATATTGCAATGATTAGCTGAAAACGCAGTCTCCTCATTGACATTAATTGGTTTGTAAGATGAAGTAACTGCAATGCACAGACATTTAGGCAAACAGCTAATTCATCACTGAGCAGTATTTGTTGAGTCTACAGACAAGGCTGAGTGCGCGCCATTTTAAATAATCTGCTCCCTTTAGACCTCGCCCCCTCACTTATTAAATGGTGCGGAAGGGAAGGGAAGGGAAGGAGGGCATGGAAAACAATTATCGAAATGCACCTTAGGATTCATCATTGGGATATAATATCCTCAAAGAATTTCATAAAAATGCAGTCGGGCAGGTTGCACTCAAACTAACATGTAGCACTGTCAGGTCAGAGTTGAAAATGAATCCTAACTGATCCTAATTGGGGTTTTCTAAAATGCTATAAAGAGGCAGCTGCAGTAACTATGAAAATGCCAACATCAGTTGATATTAGCCTAATGTTAACAAATTAAACTTGACCAGTCTCTAATTAATAATGTATTTGATGATCACTTTATATGAAAATATGAAAGATCATGATGATACAATTCAAGATATAATTTGGTCACAATATGTGTGTTTATATCTCCGCATAAAAACATCCTTAATCACATGACTGCAGCACTCACACTACCTAGTGACAATGTTCTAAAGTGACGCATATTAGTTGACTTTATGTGTTCGTTTGACTTTGCTGGTTGTGATGATGTAACTTGTCCCAGCTCACCCACCTCCATGACAGAATAAAGATGGACATAGCCTCCGTGACATCACCCACAGTTTTCTGAAGAGGAGGTTTGAAGCTCAGAGTGAGCATCACCATCTTGGCAGTGTCTGACTCTAACCCCCTAGCTCCTGGCTAATCCAGAAATGGGCAAAGAGGAGGGGCGTGTGTTGAGCCGAGACTTTGGTGCATGCTGGCTTGTGGCAATCATACGCTCGCCCACCTGTCACTCAAAGAGACCACACCCTCAATTATGCAGAACTTTAATTAACTGCCCCCCCCCCCCGTACAGTTGTCATGAAGGAAGAAATTAGCCGTAGAGACCATAAAAGTTTTTTGTACCAGGCTGTAAACATGTTTATTTCTGCTGTGTGTTGGACATTTTAACTATGGAGTCCATGGAGACTGACTCACTGTTGGAGCCAGACTCAAGTGGACAAGAACTGCAGTTTTTGGTGCTTCTGTGTTGGCTTCATTTTTCAGCCTCGGAGGTTGCCGTTTGATCCATATGTGACCAAAATATTAATCAAATTGAAACAAAATACTGGAAAGAGAAACACTAAAAAACACAGTCTGCCTTCATACTGTACATAGATATGTATATGGATGTGATGAGGCAACCTGAAACACTGAAGCACAACTCATTATTCTGTTGACATGGATTGGTTAGCTGGGGATTGCCTGGCTGTTAAACTTCACAAAACACCCTGATGTTGTTTGACTGTGGAGATTTGAATATTCAAATGTTTGAACTGCAGCAGAATCAGCGGAGACAAATATGACACACATTTACATGGCCGACTGATTAAAGCCCGCCAGTTTCTTGCGGCAGTCGGACTGTAGGCCTTGCTCAGTGCAGATAGTACAGGAAGGAGGACGAGAGCAGCACATTTCACATAATTTCATCATCAAAGCGAGGAAGCATCAATGAATGTGTGCTGAGCGAATGAGGCCTCTTGATGCAGGACACTTCATATCCCCAGCAGTCACGTGTCGGTACAGAAGCTGTTAAGAGCTGCAGAAAACTGCTCAGTCCGGGCAATAAAAAGGAACTCGTGTGCCTCAGATAAATGACAGGAACTGTGTTTATCCATTCAGTGCCCGCTTGCTCTTCAAGTTAACTAGTCACTGTCAGAGAAAATGCCGCACTCAGTAATGCATGCTTAATTCAAAAGACCATTGCCCTTTTGGTACCTGCCGTCGTCTCAGCAGCAGATCAGAGCAGGGTGGCGCATCTTAATGCATCAGGTTGATATTTTATCAATCACTGGATCTCATTTCCCAGTTTGAAAGGCGTACTGGTCGTTATCGTCACCAGCGTGAGACAACTTGGCCTGTGCAGAGTTTACTGGCCTCATTGGTCAGGGGTTTACTGGCTTTTTGAAGTGTCATCAAACGGCGTGGTGGTGACTCTGAGTGAAACATAAATAATTCAAGGACAGTTAATTCACCTTGAAAGTGGTCTCCATGGAGCTTGAAGATAGAGCCTGAGAATGAAGCGTGCCTACCCTCCGAGAGTGTGACGGCCTTGTTGAGCCGAACGGAAGTCTGATAGTTCTCTTGCACATACTGGTGGATATGCAACAGCGGAGCTTGGATGATTTGAGCAGTGGATATATATTGAGATATTGATCAGAGTTGATTGATCAGGGGCTACAGTTGCTTTTATGGAGCATTAAACTGTGTGTGTTCAGGGCCAGGGAAACTGGAAAGAGGTCGCTAAAGGTTAATGGAAACACCCCACCCCCAACACTTCCTGCACAAGCAGATAAGAAAAAGGAAACCACACTCTATCTCTTAATAGGTTCCCTGACATATCGAGTGCTGTATGTTCAGCCAATGCAGGTTTATACTTCAAATTATCTTTGTAAATAATGCAAGCTTCTGCTGCTCATAGTAAAAGGCTTCCTCTCATTTAGCAGTATTGAATCCAGTATTACTGCCAGTCAGATCAACTTGAAGAGGATCAGCAGCAAGTCTGACCTTCTAATGATTAGTCTCCAGCTAAGGCCACAACAGGACTCCCGTGTAATTTCTGTCTTGATCCGGAAAGATGACAGGAGCATCAGCAGCTGGAGGGCTGCTGTATGATTGGAAGGGAGATATGTTGTCTCGCTCTGTATTGGGAGGAATCGACTCTCTGCTTCTCACAGCTTCAGTGGACGCTGAAAGTTGGCGAGATTGAATATCAAAAAGATTCTCTTCAAAAAAAAATATAGCCAAATAACATTTAGTACAAACTCTGGAGAAGTGCTGTGTCTATTTTTGTCAGTGGCATCGGATTGGCAAGCTACTGAGGAGGTCATGTGCTGAAACAGAGAGAGGCTGCAAAGCTCCCTTGTGCTGCGATATGTCTTGATCTTCTGCTGGAGCAGAAATCAGCAGTAAACAACAGCAGACCTGCGGAGCTTTAAAGTCTCAGGGTGGTGGTGGCAAACAGGGATCACAGGAGTTCTGTGTCTCAGCAGTTTTATTCCACATTGTACCAAAACACTCAAGACCCGGTATTTATAACTTTCTTTTGATTCATTAAGAGCGGTGAAACAAAATAATGTGCTCATCATCATCTGTCAGACTGTCACCTTTACATTGTGTATTGCGTTATTCGATTAAAACTAATTTTATGTTGAAAATGCACCTGTATAGTCAGAAATGAAAAGCGTGACTGTCAATCTCTCTTAATTATTATAATTTTTATGTCTGGTTTGCTGTCTGCTGGAAATCTTTGTTGGCATACTGGATGTGACAAGTCAAGGCTGTGGAGCACAAGTGAAAGCCTGCTGCTCAGCTGTACTTTAGCCGTCTTGGAGAAGATAACTGGACGCACAAACGGAGGCTGATGCTAACTCACCTCCAGCAGCCAGCTGTGCTGCAGCACCGTGCCTCTCAGTGCCCTTTAGGCCACAAACCTTCAAAACTATCAAGTGGATCTTCAAGGTTGTGCTGTGAACATGTTTTTGTCGAAAGCGTGAATCATATCTATTTTGTTTTCACAGTGGCATACCTGGGAAGAAATGTGGGACCATTATCTTGTCTGCTGAGGAGCTGGGAAACTGCAGAGTAAGTCCAAAAAGTGTTGACCAGTATATTTTTTAATTGGCTTACTATGATAATAATAATACATGTTTTGCAATGTTCACTGATCTAATTCGAAATGGGCCCTATAACAACGGTACATTAGAGTTTAATTGGACATATTTATAGTGGCTGATTATGGCATGTCACTGTGAAATTGTATGTGACACTCTAAGGGAATGGCGCGTGTTGTGTGAGGTGTTCACAAGCCTGCTGGAGTGAAGTGGGTTGTTTAACAGCCTCGACTTCAGTAAGATTTGTTGTATCATAACTGTCCCCATTAAACCAGCAGGATATGCCATGTCTCTATGCAATTGTGTTTGTCATTTGGAAACGGTATACATAGTGAATATGTTATGGGTTTGAATGGCTATTTAATGAGCCTGCGTTCATTCCAATCACTAAAAACAAGCATTTCCTCCTATGTGTGGTGTGTTAATCCATGAGTCTGCTCTAATAACCTGTGTCCACTAATGCCCATTGGCTTTCTCTCTATCCTGCTAAATGAAGATAGTAAATAATCACATTATGCTGCTGCCAGTGGAGCATGAGAGAGTAGCAAGACTTATTGGCCAGAACAACTGGCCTCCCTCAGAGGCTATAAAGCCATTGAGCTGCAACTGCTGTATAAATGTTTTATGATGTCTTAATACATACAAGCATCTAATGTTCCAAAGCTTTATAACTTCCCGACATACATGTTGAGTAAAAACACCTGGTTGTCGTGGCTTTGAGGATTTTTTTTTCCTGACAAATAAACAGTCTCCCATCAGAGTGAGACAGATAGACCATGCTGATGATAAAACTGCCATCATAACCATTGGTGATTCGGTCCTGCTGGATTGAAGTGTCGGTGCTCACAGTCATTGAGGGGCTGCTGTGAGTCATCAGGTGCACTGGATCTGTGATGATAGGAGTTAGCATCATCACTGCAAAGCACCACTTCAAGAAGCCATTTTGTAATATAAATGCAAATGATCATTACTGGTACAAATGACCATTTCCTTTCTCCCAGACTCAATGAGAAAGACCCAGACTTGACATGTCACTCCACACCTGCCCTGTTTACACACAATCCAACCCTGAATGGAAATACCTCTGGTTTGAGTAAAGACCAGGACGATAAAAAGAAAAAATGACAGGTTTTAGACGGAGGTGCTGCTGTCAGCACGATTCCCTTACCTATGATTTATAACAGTTTGGAATTGGTACCATCCATCTGGATGGTGTTTATTCTATAATCCACCTGTGACCAATAAATGGAGACAGGAGAGTTGTTGCTTCGCCAGAGGTAAACACTGCAACTCTTGTTTGGGGAAACTGAAACCGGCAGAATGGGAATCGACTGGGGAAGTTCTGCAGGGACTGTTAACCGAGAGGCAGGCCAGGTGTCATTAGACAGAGCAACAGCCTCTGCATGGATCAAAGGCTTCCTCTTGGCTGTCGTTACCTCTGGCACATAAGACATGCTGAGCAGCGGCTGGGTTCCTTCCAGATCCTCCTCACAGTCCACCCGCAGCTCTGGCTGATTTAAATCTAAGTAAACCACACAGCACTTTACATATGACAGCAGTGAACCACAGTGAGCTTTATTACCAGCTGCAACAGCGGGGCTGGTTGTGTTCTCACCTTTTGAGTGTGTGTGTGTGTGTGTGCGTGTGTGTGCCAGCAAACTGTGGTCCTGGAGAGATCTAATGTAGCGGGAACCAGCACAGGGGTGGTTTTCAGCACTCTGGCAGGTGTTTATATGCCTGTATGTCTGTGGACAGATTTTGTTCCCGGCGATAGCATCACAACCGTGAGAGAAACAGTCAAAAAAACTTTACAGGTGTGTAGTTGAGATCGAGGTTTGAAGATGGGTGTGGTTTGACCCGGTCCTGAGCACTCATGGGTCAGAACGTCAACATTTGGATGGGTGTTGCGGCTTGTGTTTGTGTACTATTGAAAGATCGTCTCTTCCTGTTCATGTAGTAGGCAAAACATAAGTGTGGTTCAGTGTATATGAACATACACATGGTCAGGTGAAGTCCATATTATTTATATAAAATCACAAATTATAGATTTGCTTCTAGCTGAGCTTTACAATCTGTCAATATGACCCCCTCTATCCTTACACCTTCAGTTAGGTGCCTCTTGAGCCTGTGTACACTATACACTCAACATGCTTTGTTGTGTTTCCCTTGACCGAGTATTCTTCACTTTATCACTGCAGTTGTAAAATGGGATTGAGCCTATTACTGTCACTGTTAATGTCACCATTTTTCTTTTGTGTATATAAAACTGTTCCTCACAATGACAGAAATCCGTCACCCGAGCCTTATGGTCATAATAGACGAACGCTCAAAAGAATGGAGTGATGCGTAAAGCGTACAGGGGAACTGTGTTAATTTCTCCTTCGTATAATCCTCTGGCTCATGATTCATTCGGTGATTCATTACAGTACACCATCCTGTGGAAGCCAAAAGCTTATTTAACTTGAATACAAGTATTGTCTGCATTTCCTCCTTTTCCTTGGAAAGACCAGTCCCACTTTCTGAAAGTGACAGTGTGCATAGCTCTGCCACTTACCCCATGCAGTGATATCTTGGCGGAGCAGAGAAATGGGAAGAAGGATGCAGACTGTGCTCAGTATTCCCCTGCTGCTCCTAAACCTCAGTGGCTGAAATGAATGTTCTGCCTTTTTCCCCACTTAATGAGAGAACACTGCTAGGCTCCAAAGTGGGTATGTGTTATCTGTGCCTAATGAAGGCTTAAGGCACTGTGTTGCCATGATAGTGTAATTGTAGAGGCTGTGTCAGGGCTAAGCAGGATGGTTATCAGATGGTTCTATTTTTAAGGGCTTTAATAACTGACCTAAGCAAACATGCCCAAATTTATGAGTGAGTGAGTGAGTGAGTGAGTGAGTGAGTGAGTGAGTGAGTGAGTGAGTGAGTGAGTGAGTAGCTGTGTCCCAATTCAGGGGCTGCATCCTTTGGAGGGCGCATGTGAAGACCGATTGTGTCACAGCGGCGTGACTAGGCGACGAGGCTCCTTCAAACGTGTCCTCCTTTTCCTGGGAAATGGAGGATCCAATAGGCGGATCCTTCTTGGCCCAACCTATCGCAACATTCACTGCGCGCCGGTTTCGAAAGCAAATAACACTGGCAGAGAGCCCGAGGATTACATTGTTAAATGTAAGTATTGGGTTTCAGCTCAGTTCCAACAGCTAACGGTACAACTGTCAAAACCAAGGGCCTTAAAACCTCAAATTTTTGTGAAAAAAAGTTACTTGTTGCCAAGTTGCTAGGCGACAGGAGCCACGCTTTGTGATGCGATGGTGACGGCGGGCACGGTTGGTGACGCACATTGTAAATCCTATGTAGACCAGACCGTCTCATTTTGGTTTGGCCTTCTCCGTCTACGACAGCAACGAAGGGCCACGCCTTCGTAGATCGCAGCCTCCGACAATGCGGCCCTTGAGTCGGGAGACATCAAGTGAGTGAGTGACACCATTGGTCGACCGAGTGTTGGACTTTTCCCATTGGCAGTGGCGCTTTCAAAATGATTTGGTGCAAACATTTTCTATTATGTCCTCAGGGGGAATTTACAGCACATCCACAACACTTTCCACTGGCAGATCCCTTCGGTGACTTTTTTCAAAAAAGCACCAAGTGACAAATGTAGCGACATTTTGGACAAACTACTTTCCATAGAAGAGAGACGTCAGCACCCCCCCCCCCAAGTTAATTAGCATATTACATCATCAAGCGGGCTTTAGCTACCGTCCATTGAAAGTAGCTGTTTACAGTGGTGCCAAAGCAGTTTTCAACTACGTCCCCAATTTCTCACATGGACCACAAGCTGTCCAGCTATATACTCCGTTTTAACTTGCACTTGTTTCTAAATCCGCAAAACGAGCCACAGTGGGAACTTGGCAAATGAAATGCTCTTGTGAGCAGACATCAGGGAAGAGCTCGACATGCATCACGTACAAACTGCACAGTGCATCGCTCTGTAACTTGGCTGATCCGTATCCATCTACACAAATTGGGAAAAGACAATCGTCCATTAACACGCTCTCTTTACCTACATTGCGCAGAAACAAATAATGATGACGGTTACAAAAAAATGACAAAACAAGTAGGACAGTAGGAAATTAAATTAGATATGCAGCAACCCATTTAGTCACCACTGACTGGTTGACTGTTTCAACATTTCCACAATGCTGGTTGGAAACATAAACTACGATTGGAAACGACAGCAATAATAAAATTAACTCAGTTTTCGGGAGATTACGATTTATTTTACTGCATATCTGTGTGGTGGCGTCCATCTTTCTCTCAGCAGTTGCCTCAGAAAAAGAGGCCGGTCTGTGTCCAAGGCGCAAAGTGACGTGATGGGGGTTAGTGAGAGGCAGGTCAGAGGCAGAGCGCACCACACTGATGTGGGTCAGAGCGATCGATAAAGGCCCTGGCCAGCAGCACGCTGATTCAGATCTAATGGCTGCACTTGAAAACCTAAAAGCTCGAGAGACCAGCTGGTGAAATACGGATCTTTTTTTTTTTTTTTTTTTTTTTTTTAAGCTAGTTTCAAGGCTCTGATTGTCTTCTGGTATCGAATCTCACGATTTCAGATATGCTGATTAGACACTTGACTTTCATATGCAGTGTGTTTCAGAGCTGAAGAGTTTTTTTAATCCAGCATTGAGATAAAGGCTGTCAGCGACAGAGAACACTGCGGAGTTTCTTCTGCTGTGGTCGCTTACCTGTCCGGTGTGTGATCAGTATACGGCGTCATTATTATATACAACGCACACTAATACCTTGACCACAGGGAGACTATCTGGAACCAAGGGCATTATGGGGCATGTTCATTGTCCTTGTAATGGCAGCACACACTGAAATGCTGCCTAAATGAGTATAATTATGTTAATACCAGCCTTTCTAATGTAGCATTAGCTGCACTCACACCCTCTACATCCTTTTTGTACACAGCCCCCCTCCTCCATGTGCAAGGTTTTTAGAATCCATTTCTGTGCCTCTGCATGGTCTCTCATACTATTACTATGATTATATTCATCACAACAAGGTATTTTCTATTTGATATCCCTTATCCCATCCACTGTTGTTATACAGGAGTTGCATAATAAATAATAAAGAAATGGTAATGAATGCATTTGCGGGTTTTGGAAACTAGGGGCCACTGGTTGGTTTCGCTCTGCTCTTATTAGGATTCAGTCAGCACTTTGCTTTTATTTGGTGCTTCAGTGCTTTTATATCTTGGCACACGGCATGTATAAACAAACAACAGGAGACAAACAGAGGCAGGAGCATGGATTTACAATGTCATTTGCTTTTCTTTTTTTTTTGTCTTTTCATTTCTCTGACTTTCTTTTTTTTCCCCCCTATGTCTGTAGGATTACGCCACAATGCAATTCTGTGCCAACAAACTGGATAAAAAGGACTTCTTTGGAAAGTCAGACCCCTTCATGGTCTTCTACAGAAGCAACGAGGATGGCACGTGAGTTTCTTCCTTGCTTTGGCTTCCCTGGGGTGGGGGGTGTTTCATTTTGGCTTATCAAAGTCAGCTAGGAGGGCGGGGGGCGGGGGGGGGCGAGGGGGGGAGAGATCAGAGAAGATGGAAACCAAGGTCGAGAGAATTAGATTGAAATCCCTCGAACTCAGCTGCATACAGATACCTTTATGCAGACGTGCTCCCAAAGCAAACTATAATGGGAAGATTTTATCACTCAGTTTTTCTTAGAGATGTGTGTTTTCGGATTATAAATCCCAGATGACCTGCGTCCCCAGGTTCACCATTTGCCACAAGACTGAGGTGGTGAAGAACACACTTAACCCCGTGTGGCAGCCCTTCTCCATCCCCGTCAGAGCGCTCTGCAATGGAGACTATGACAGGTAGGATGAGTGATGATGTACAATAAAGTCTTCTGTGCACATACACACTTGCACATTGCGCGCGCACACACACACACACACACACACACTCACATGGAGTGTGATTTTCCCGGGGAAATCAAAACCTTGCAGAGTTTCAATATACAGCATACTCATTTCAAAATGGGTTGGGTGCGTCAGATTTAGACGCCATTGATTTTCTGCCGTCATTTTATCTGCTGCTGAAATGGAGAATTATTACAGGTCTGTCTCTGACTACATGCTACCTTGCCTTGCTCTTCATTGATTTACCCACAACTGGCGAGAGGCTTTCAAAGTATTTCAAATTTCTGATTGGCTGCACCGGTGGCATCTCCTATCTTATCGGAATCTCAAAGAGCCTCGCGGGACACCCGGGGAAGAGGAAGAGTTTTGGCAGGAAAATAAAAAAAAAAATTTGAGTTAAGAGAAAAAAGTGAGAGGGAGAGGAAGAGTGGCTGTATTTGTCGTTCTTATAGGAGTTGACAGGTGGCTGGAACAACATACTGCGTGTGTGTGTGTGTGTGTGTGTGTGTGTGTGTGTGTGTGCGTGTAAGCATGAAAGTGTGTGGACGCAGACAGCTATGACAGTCTGTAGAAGTCATCAAAGAACGTGTCAAACTTTGCCCTCTCCTCCACGCTGGTTGTCAACGGAGGTTCCTCACTTCCATCCCGACTCTGCTCACCTGCCCGGAGAAGCTAATTGGGTCAGACAGATGGAGCCGGAGTATGAAAGACGTCTGATCCCCTTTGAGGATTTTGATGGAAAGAGAAATCTACAGCTATTAAGGGTCTCCCCGACTTCTCATTTAAAATATCTTCAGTTTGCTGATTTCCGTTTTTTTTTTTTTTTGGACATTTTTTATTTCCAACATCTACTGAGCAGAGCCGCTGCGATTTGGATTCTTTTGATTCACTATTTCTCAGCCAATCAAATTTTAGTGGCTTATGAAATCAAAATTTTTATTTAAAATACAATGATGCTGTGATAATTAGAACTGCCCTGGTTTTGATTCAGCCCTCAATGCAGATTTCCCAGATTCAGCTCCTGTTTATTTTCCTTGTCTTCTTTTAAATGTTTTCCTGTGAAGTCAGTTTGATTTTTATAGTCCAAAATCATAAACATGCCTCAAAGGGCTGTGCAATCTGTACACTGCAATACAATGCCCTCTATTCGTAGCCCCTGTGTTTGGATAGAGTGCCAACAAATATGAAGAATATTAATCTGTGAAGAGTTCAAGGACGCGATTCACACACAGTTAGAAGAGACAAGAGGGGAGGCTGAATCTCCCGGAGGATGAAGATCCAGATCTGAGATGACTGACGGGAGCCGGAGGAACAGAGTAGGGCAGAGGTCCCAGGATGGCCGATGCTCCTGTGCAGAAAGGCCTCATGTTTTGCACTTCACATTTCCTCCATGTGTTACATGTTATTCCAGGGCAGGAATAATCGCGTTAAGTCCCTCTCCTCAGTCACGTCTCCCGGCCTCAGGTGAATCAGTCAAATCTCTTGTAATGATCAGGCGCCAATAGCGATCGGAAAGTGAAATCTCTGCAATTTCCACTCCAACATGCAGTGGGTGCAGGAAGAGAAATGAAACTGATCCGGGGAGTAATTCTCTGTAGTGCTGCTGCGTGTGACCCTGATCATTAGTTGGAAGAAAATGACATTAGAGAGAATTGATGGTGACTGACACATCACTTGGGAATCATCTGTCATGCTGCCCCTAAGTGTCAAAACACATCAGTTTTTTTGTGTGTCTGTCAGTCAAGCGTAGAAGGAGGATTTGATCGTTGTCTCACTCTGACTCTGAACCTTGAATATCTGGATGTATTACATGTTGGTTCAGTATTTAGAGGGAAAACCCAGCTGCTTTTAGCACAGATTCACAGCACAAATCTTACCTCATCCCTCTCTCATCGCTCTACGTGGATCCTGATGTCTGTTAGGTGGGGAAATATGTTAAATGCAGACAGAATGAGTTCAGGTCAGGATAACAGGGCAGCCCTCCATCGCCCCGCATCCTCCTGGATTGACAGCACCTGACGGTGGGGGAGGGGGGGTGGGGGGTAGGCAAGCCACTGATCTTTCCATCAGATCGAGTAGAAGAGGGGGAAGCACTTTCCTCATTCTCAGTGAATTCTCCCAGGCTTACTTATTTGCTTTCTCGCCTTGCAGCATATTTCAGGAACTTGCAAAAATATGCTCCCTCCCAAGAGGTTAGTTTTCTATCTTTGGCATGTGCAGAGAAAATGCTTTACCTAGACTTTTGGCAACTCTGTCTACCTGCTCTCTCTCTACTGTGAGACACATAATCTCACTGGTTAACAAGTCATTCAAATCCTTAATGCCAGGTTACCAATCTGACTTCCTTTGCTTTTTTTTTTTTTTTTTTTTTTTTTGGGATGCAAGACTGACAGAAACCAGGTAAGCTTTGTAAATGTGTACCGGTCTCAGACTCAGTTAAATGTTTCATTAAAGATTTGTCATGAGCTAATGTATTTTCACAGCTGACCATTCCCAGTCATTCTCCTACTAGATCTTCAGGCAGATGTTTGCATCTTTTGCATGCAAAACACGGCAGGCTCTCTTGGATTGATTAATTCAACCTTCACTCACAATTAATGAGCTTTATTAGCTTGTTTTGTGCTGCGTCATGTCAGGAATGCTCTCTGTGAAATTTCCCTCAAGGACATTTAGCTGGTGGCTCCTGAATATTTTTTTCTCTCTCTTTTGATGTGTTTCGCAGGACGATCAAAGTGGAAGTGTATGACTGGGACAGAGACGGGAGGTAGTGGAAGCACGCACACACACACACACACACACACACACACACACACACACACACACACACACACACACACACAGACGCGTTATTCATTATCATAAATTGATTGATGACATCTTACCCAGTGTCAGTTGCTCCTTTAACTCCTCTGTGAATTACTTTGTATTTCTTCTAACACTCGATAGAAACCCCGCCAGCACATTCACAATACCTCAAACTTAACTGCTATTCATTTTTCATTGAAAATGGATTATTACAGTACAATCTGTGCATCAGTGGTTGTGGTGTAATTCCTACGGCTGCTTTTATCCCTGGCCTCTCAGCGTTGTACCTGCTGAACATGTGTGTGATGTGGTTTTTCTCTTTTCCCTCCAGCCACGACTTCATCGGTGAATTCACAACCAGCTACAAAGAGCTGTGTCGGGGTCAGAGCCAGTTAAACGTCTACGAGGCGAGTGGAGAGAAAGAGAGTCTATACTGTTATCACCCTGTCAGTGTTTCCGCAGAGCTGAGGACCCTCATGTAAAACAGCGGCTGTGGTTTCACATTTCATTTTGACAGTTGTTACTTGTTCCTGCTGTTTCTCTTGGATCTCTTTTATACTTTAAAGCAAAATTCAGGTCACAGTGCAAAAACCTCCTTTTTATCCAACTCTGAAGGTGTGATACATCTATTTGTTCAATACAAGATTTTTGTGCCAGTTAATGAGTTTCAAGGGAAGTGAAGCACACCGGCCGCTCTGTACCTGCTCAGGTCTGTGTGCAAACTACTCATGAATGAACTGTGGAAACACCTTTCGCACAAAAGTTATTCCTGCAAGGGCACAGAAACAAACCTATGCTCAATTTCTGGGTGCAGGTTTGAGAAAACAATTTCGATTTAAGAGCCAATCAGTGTGCCCTTTGGCTCTGCAAGGTCTTGTTAGCCAGAGTTTAATGACAGGATACTCTCCACGCCGTGGTCGTTTGAGTCGCGTTGTGGCTATTTGAGATTAACAGCAAACCTCCCCTGTCTCCCCTCGCCCTGCCCGGCATTAAGCATCGGTAAGGTTAAGTGGTGCAGCAGACCAGATGAGAAAAGGTGCTTCTGTGTTGAGAATACAAATGGGAATGCAACAGAGCTATGCTGCTGATTGGACTTTTTTTTTGGATGGTCCTTTGAGGGTGAGATAGGGTATTACTGTTAGGCGCTGGGAGGCTCCTATCGGTCCCTGCTCATTAAAACACTTGCCATGTTACATTAGCCTCTGAATTAGTCATGGTGGTGGATTAAGGAAAGAACAGGGCCGATGAAGAGAGAGAGTGGCGGAAAAGATGGTGGGTAGGTGGGTACGTGGACTTTTTTTTTGGATGGTCCTTTGAGGGTGAGATAGGGTATTACTGTTAGGCGCTGGGAGGCTCCTATCGGTCCCTGCTCATTAAAACACTTGCCATGTTACATTAGCCTCTGAATTAGTCATGGTGGTGGATTAAGGAAAGAACAGGGCCGATGAAGAGAGAGAGTGGCGGAAAAGATGGTGGGTAGGTGGGTACGGGGGGGGG